ATTTCTTTCCTCTTTTCACCTTCTCACTACAACTCATCTGTTCCATTCATCCATTTCATCCTGAGAACTATAAAGTGAGATCAGTTGATAAAAAAATCATCTTTTAAACGAGTGGTGGAGCCAAGATTTCTCATGCATCGAATTTTAGCGAAGTTTATATGAACGATTTCGACCAGCGTTTGCTTGAGTTCCATATCGCCAATTTGGAATACTGGCTTGGCGCGCCAATTGGACAAGTTTCGCAGAAGGATTGGCACTGTGCCTATGACTTTCAGTTCGAAGGGCCTCATTTAGTTGGTAAGTCTTTCGCTTGGCATGCTGCATGTTGCTTCTTACTCGCCACACTGTGTTGGTTGCACCATCAGCAAATTTGCTAACTTCATGTTTGATCTAACTCAACTTGCACCACTTTGTGGTGTCCATCCTATGAAAAATTTACCTTTAATTTTCATTTTTTGACTTTCATCCCTCAAGCTAAAAATGCCCAATGTTTAACTGTTTCAACACGCCTTCTGTAAAATTCTCAGCTTTTGGATAAAAGTTTTCTTCCTCCTAAGCTCCCCTACAACGCTTATTACTCGTAAGAGGTTGTAGGTTAGAATACAATTACATCTGAATTCCTCTACTGGCACTGAATTTCTGACAGATTTAGAGAATTTTTTTATTCTCTTAGTTACCTGTTACTCTCACCGTTGCAATGAAATAAAACAGGAATAATTACAGCAAGGTAAAGAAAACTGAGCGAATCTTCAGGGATTTTTTAACGTTTTTCTTCATTATAAGTCAAAGTTTATAAAAGAAAGTGGCTAAGCTTCCTTAAACTTTTTCTTTTACCATTTTTTTCCTATGTATTTGTGAAATTTCAGAGTTTTTTCGGTTTTTAAACTTTTTACTTCAGTCTTTTGTTCATATTTACACTTTTAAACAGACGTTTATGCAAAAAAGGCAAAAAAAAAAAAAATTGGCAGCGTTAGGACATATTACAGTAACCTAATATAATTTCCAGAAAGAGTAGTAAAAGTGGGCAAATGCTTCCTGTACAGTAATATCGTGGATAAGGCGGCGGTTCTCAAAAAATCAATTAAATACCGCTGTATTTGTGAAGGGCATCATCTTTTTGCGCGCATCTGCCCATAAGCACAATTTCCATTGTTCAAAGAACACCAGTAATATTAACATTAACAATAAAGATGATAACAGCAGTATCAACAAAAGGACCCGTTAGTTCAAGAGCATTACATCTGTAAAGCATATTCGTGATGCTTAGTAGTATCATTGAAGACCGTCGTACGAAGAAACAAGTGGTTTTTTTTTCAGAATTTTGAATTTATACAGTTTTAATCTTCGGTTATAGCTCGGCTTTGTGAGATTGGAAGGGTGGGAGAGTGCGCTTTGTCGCAGTAATTGTATTTTGTAAAGTTTAATGAATACAGGAGTTTTTTTTTTTTTAAAATAAAAAGCCGTTTTTTTTTCGATTTCAAAATCTGACAGTTAACTGATTTATTTTTTTTCAGCCAAAAAAATTTTTGAAGGCAATCTTCACCACTAAGAGTGACTTCGTTCAAAATACACGTAACAACTGAATGACAGAAAAAACTGAACAATCAGACAATATCACTAGGTACAATACTACCGTAACAATCGGAATAGATCTGTGATGAGCCGCCGCTGCACGTTGATGCAGCTATCCGGACGGGCAATGCTGAGTGTAGTAGATTCCAGAACAATGGATCATTCATTCGAATACAAGTATTCTTACGTAGAATTTGTCCTAACTCAGCATCCAGTTGATTCGGCTCAATTCCATCGCCCAGCAGCGCAATGAGCTTTTTATGACGATTTTTGGCAAATATTTGATGTGATGTTTTTATCTGAAAGCATTTCTTCGCATTCTTCAAAAAGTCTCTCAATAATGAGGGCAATTTCGGGCACTTTGAATCTTTTTTAAATATTATTTCTTGGGCTCTACTGTACTGGAAACGTTTTGACGTGCAACGAATTGCTGGTGCACGGGATCCTTTCAGAGCCAGAGTGCAGACAAGTATTGCAGAACGTGTTTACCTGTAGTGTCCTCCATTCATTACCCAGGAAGTACTGTGTCAGGACAAGTATAAGTGATTGTGCGCATTCCATTTGATTGATAAGCTCGTCGGACACAGCGTGCACTCGGGAGTTATAGTTCGGGCCATCTCTGTGCAGCAGACACAGGACGTACTCCTCCGACTCGAGTTGCCTGTTACAAAATACTAATCACAATTGATTTAACTGATTATAATATTAGTGCCAGTTCGCCAGCATATTTTTCCTGTAGTTTCCGCAACTGTTTTTTTCCTTGCAAAAATGCATGTACTGGGTGCGTGTATGCACTGGATGTATATACTGCGTTTTGATAGGGTTAGGGCATTTCGCGCTTCATCAGCGCTGATTACTTCTTGTTTTTCCATATAATAAATTAATTATGGGAAATTAATTAACACAAGCCGTAAGTTTAAATTTCTAAAAAAAAAGTAAGGATTTTTCTCCAACTTTTTATACCTGCAGAGTGTCTCGATGATAAGTTTTTCATCCTTCTTCGAATAACTAATGAATGCATCGAAATGAATCAGCGGTAGGGGACTCGAACCGGGCGTTGTATGTGAGCAGCTGAACGATGGTGGCACTTTATACCTCCGTTGCACCATTACTGATTTAGTCTTCCGGAAAGCCATCATGGCTATTAGCACCAGCCCTGTGCCTACCAGAGCAACAGCGAATAGTACTGTGATGATAAGAAACGAATTCGTGCTGCTCTCGGTACCAAATACCCCGCTTGCTGTTGGCGCACAAATTGTACTGAAAACGGAACGTCATTTTACTCC